GCATCCAATGTTATTTGTTACTTTTATGTTTTTGGGTGATTATAATGTGTGGTTCGACGTTCTATCTTTGTTATTAAGGCCGCGTTTGGTGCGGCTCTTGGTGCTCCGACTCCTACTCCTAAGACACTGTGCAACACTGTTTTTACTGTGGCATGACGAAAAACGGCTTCGGCTCCTCAAAAAATAAACTAGAAAGAAGAGGAGCCGGAGGAGGAGCACATTTGGAGCTTCTCCCGGCTCCGCCACAGTAGTGCTACAGTGCAGAGCAGAGCCAGAGCCGGGAGAAGCCCCTCCAAACGGGCTCTAAGTTTGTTGCAATGAAGTAGTCTTCCCTCAAGTTGAAATGTTGACTAGTCAATCAAGGAACCAAGGGATTTGAGGTGGAATCAAGTCATGGCGAGAAGAGACAATAGAGGATAGTATCCCTTGCTAAATTAGGGCATCAAACCATCACTATTCATATATTATTGTTATTAGTAAGGATCAACATCCTCTCGTGTATCTTTCTTACCTTGTTGATCTAATAGATATCATGGACTCAAGATTTCAAAAGGACATAATAAAAGTTTGATGTTCCAAAGTTGAACCTAACAACATATGCATTGATTGTTCTAAACTATCTTACCTATACACTATAGATATAACCTGCTGGTTTATGGGGGTACTCATGCACGTCGTTATGAAAAACATTTCATAGTAGGTGATTTGGAGTAAACACCTCAATGCAATCTATCATATACTATTCTTTTTAGAAATCCAAAGTTAAGTATGGCCCATTAGAAGAGGCAAAAAAATGGCATTTTAGATATGCAATAGAAGAATAAGATGTCTATGTCCACACATATACAAGAAACCTAACTACAACAAAAATATTATGTTTTTTTTAAATAACGAACATATTTATATTGTCACCAAACATACATGAAGACAAATAATTTACAAAATTAGGAAAAAAAGAATGAAGCTTGTAGGTGGCAATACAAGATCTTAAGAAAATGATTTTGGAAGCCAAGACATACAAGATGATGTCCCTTGGTAGGAGACCCACCAATTCAATCTTTTAAACTCCAAAAGAGAAAATATAAAAGGAAATATTCCTTCTAGTCCAATTTATAAGACATTTCGCCATCAATAGTGTAACTTTATAATCTTTGTAACTTGGTCAACAATTTTTTAACTATTGTAATACAAAGATACCGTTAGATTTGTAACCAAATATACTATCCAATAGTCATAAGTTTATAATCACAAATAATATAATATAAAATAAATGAATGGTCGAAGTGTATTTTAAGAGACCATGTCATGTCAACTATACCTTATAAATTGGACCGGAGTGAGTATAACTTAATGGGATATCTAAGAGCAATTGACACCTTAGCATAGGAAATAAGCTGAAATACCCAATACAAATAATTTAAGACTCAGCCATAGATCTTGAGTTTAAGTACTAGTCAAAACATGGGGAAAAAGTTTGATGTACCCAATTCTCATGAAGATCTAACTTGGACTTGGACAAACTAGAGAAATATTACTGATATTAGTAGTGGTTAGGCTTACACTAGGGATTCTAGTGTCCCAACCAACTATATATTGATCCACACATCCTCGAGTTAGGCTTGCACACAAAACTCAAAGAAAATGTAGAAGTTTTATACCAATTGTTCAGGGAATGAGGGTAGAATACCCCATGCTATATGTGTTGGCATGGATATAGAGATCCGAACCTTGGTCAGGAAGCCATTCATTCTATTGGTTGTGTGTGCTTGACCATTCCGATGAGCTTAGGCCCTGTTTAGTTCCTAAAAATTTTCACCCCAAAGTGTCACATCAAATCTTGCGGCACATGCATGGAGTACTAAATGTAGACGAAAAACAAAACTAATTGCATAGTTGGGTGAGAAATCGCGAGACGAAACTTTCGAACCTAATTAGTCCATAATTAGACACTAATTGCCAAATACAAACGAAAGTGCTACAATAGCCAAAACCAAAAATTTTCGTCATTTAAACGCGCCCTTACTTTCCACATTTGGAACAAGTGCCAACTGTTAATGATACATCCCATTGACATGCTGCATACTGAAAGGCACATATGGTGACAAATAGTTAAGTAAGATAGTTGAGTATCCTTTCCCCTAAAGAACTTAGATTATATGCCAACCATCAATGAAGCATCACACAGATAATCTACTATCATGGCGATAAACGCGTACCATTTTCCATATCTTTCAAAGGATTACAAGTCATTATATGCCTACTATTGAATAAACGCAGATGAATTACATACCTTTAATTTTCCTTAAATTTTGTAGTTTGATATTATGCAAATAATTATATGAAGGCTATTGGATACAATGAGCCCTGGTTTAGTTCACCAAAACTTTTCCAAAAAAATGCTACAGGAGCCATCACATCGAATCTTGCGATACGTGCATGGAGTATTAAATGTAGACGAAAAAAAACTAATTGCACAGTTTGGTTGGAAAATTACGAGACAAACGTTTTGAGTCTAATTAGTCCATGATTGAACATTAATTATCAAATAACAACAAAAATACTACAGTAACTAAATTTCCAACTTTCATCCAACTTTCACCCAGCTAAACACGGCCTGAGCATCCATTTCCTTATATTTTTCAAATTGGATACGGCATTGATGACTGTGTGCCAGCCGTAAAGTGACCCATCGTAGTACTCTATCGCCGCAATAATAAATGAGTATCCCTGTCCTTGAAAAAATTTAGATCGGATACCACCAACTAGACGACACGCCATCGAATTATATAGACGAGTATAAATCAGGGCCTTGGGTACAGAAAGATAGTTGACGGGTATTCTCCATCGGCCCAAGGACAAAGATTGGCATGGAGGCCGACGAGTCGCACCGAACCATCGAGGTGCCATATTGTTGTCAATCTCAAGCTTCGAGGGCGTGCAAACGCTGACGGGAAGTCAAGACTCGACAAGGTTAGATTTTCCTTTTCTTCTCTTATGTATATATGCATATAGTTTGTGGGGGCAGTCTAGGGTATGTTGTTGCCTACCCAAACATACCATTAGATCTGGTATTTTTGAAGGTCCAAGCAAAGGTTTATGTTAGACCTAGGGATGTCAACGAGAAATTCCTCGTCGTGGAATGCCTCATCATCCCCGTCCCTTTTAAACCTTGAGGGGGGAGGTTTCCTCCCCATCTCCATCCTAGCATGGGGATTCCATATCTGACGAGGTCCTCGTCCCTGACGAAGCCATGGTGTGCTTAACTCAAGATGGTGCTTGTGCTCTGCATCTACATCCGAGGCACCTGCATATGTGGTCGGCCAGCCGGTCCTGCTTTTGCATCCGAGGCGCTTGTGCTATCATTAACGAATGAATGATAGAGGAAATACCATTGGCGAGGCGCGACGCTTGGGTGGGAGATAGGAGGGGCGAGCAACGATGCTTTGGTGTGAGATAGGAGGGGCGAGTGGCGGCACTTCAGCGGTAGGGCTAAGGTAGCACTTTGGCGTCGAGCGGAGGCGGCGCTTGGACAGTTGGGGGTAGCCGCGGACTCACAACTTGAAGGCGGCGCGGTGACTTACGGCTCCCGACTCTGGATTAGGGAGGGATAGACTGTGAAGTTTCTTTTAGGGTTGAGGGAATGGACGGACAGATTGACTTCTATAGCAGATGGACGGCTTGATGAATTCGTGATGAACTAGCTAAACGGGGCTCGGTAGGGGACGGGTACGGCGAATGCTTCCGTTCCCTAGCACCGCCCGACCCAACGAGGATAGGTTTGTCTCCATTTAGTTTTTTGTGGGGGTAATTTTGGCCCATCCATGTTCGCTAATGGGGGAATTTCGCACGGGGAATCGGGGATCGAGGCCCCATTGCCATCTCTAGTTATACCTGAGCATTTTTGTCTCTACCCGGCCCACAACAATTACTATACATGGATTTAATAGGAAAACACAAGCTCAATTTTTTTGCTTGATATGAGGTTGGTTTGATGTATTTATTTAATTATGCGGCCCGTTCTAAAAGGGATGGCCTAACATAGCCCATGGGATGGTCATGGGCACAATTTTTTGGCCCAAAAAAAAAACTTGGATTTTACTTTTGTATTTTTCTAATTTTAATTAATTTAGTTATGAATTTTAAGAGAGTAAAATAGGTTTTTATCATTTCTAAAAATATTAGTCATGTTGAAACCAGATATATGGCTAGGAATGGCAGTGGGGCGGGTTTGGGTCGGACATCCGCGGGTTTTGAGTTTGGCGGTTTTTGGTATCTGGTTTGGCCCATAGATTTTCGGTGTTTGGTTTTCGCCCACGGATTTTCAGTATCTGGTTTTTGCCCATGGATTTCAAGTTCAGATACCCAAAAGTTAGGCCCTATTTGGAAGATAGGAAATACGTAGGAAAAATAGATGATTTAGTTCCATAGGAAAGGAATGGAGATGATTTAGTTCCATAGGAAAGGATTCAGAGGAAAACTTTCCAGAGGAAAGACAATAGAGATTGTAGTTTTGAAGGAAAGAAAAATGTGCTCAGAGCTAAGGGAAATTTTCCTACGACGTTTGCTCGCTCACGCAGCACACTCCTTCTAGTTATTTCCCGCGTTTTTTCTATGTTATGGATTCCTATGTTCCAAACACCACTTCTAGTTATTTCCCGCGTTTTTCCTTTCCTCTGTTTTCCCACTACACACTCACCCAATTCCTGCGTTTTTTTTCTATTCCCGTGTTTTTGATTCCTGCGTTCCAAACAGGCCCTTAGTGGGTTTGAGGCGGATTCTCAATTTTACCCACGGATCACCATTATAGTCCCGAAATAATTCAACCCACTAATAGGCCATTACCAATCCTAGGTATATAACCCTAAAAAAATTTGGCAATTTTTTGCTGTATCAATAGTTCCCTTGTCAAAGAATCTGGTTTCTTAAACAAGTTCGTGTTAAAAAAATAAAATTGAATAGTTGTGATTGGTAAAAAAATAGATTTCTCCAAATGGTCAAATATGCCCACACGAGGAGTGAGTGTTGCGTACAGTACTTGCGTGGAAAAAAAAGACAAGCCATCAGGGGACCAAAGGTTGGCGCTTGCCCCCATACAATCAACAAGACAACACAAAAGAGCGGAGGTAAGAGAGAGAAAGCACTCGAGCAGCGTCGGAAAAAATAAAATATAGTTGGTGTAGGATAGGACAGGCCGCAGAAAAAACCACTCATTTTCCTGCCTCAGCGGTCCCCTCTCTCTCCTCTCTCAAGTTTCGCTCCAAAAGCAAATACTACTACACGCTGTCTCTCTCTCTCTTGAGCTGCTGCTGTTAATGGTACAGCCAGCCAGCCCCGCCTTTGGCTTGGTGGAGAACCAGATGCCTTTGATGTGTTGAGTGGTTGGTGTTTCATTCTCTCTCCTTTAATCTTTTTTTTTTTGGGCAAGCAACAATTTCTTCTTCACCAGTCACCCCTATCTCATCTCTTGGGAGTAGAGTATTGCAGGCAGGCAGCGTGCGACGGACTAGGAGAGAGAAAGAGGTGGTGGTGGGATAGCAAGCCAACAAAAAAAAAAAAAAAATCGGCAGCCATTTCTTCCCCTTTTGCTCAGCCTTGCCTCTCGCTTCCCTCTCCTCTCCTCCCTCTCCTCTCCTTCCAGCCCCCCAGAACCAGAAATCGAAGCCTCCGCCACCACAGAGCTCCGTCCGAGGTCCTCAGCCTCCTCCCCGTCTGCTCGCTGCGTGGATCTACCGGCAGGATGCTCGCTCCCGCGCGCGCGCCGCTCGGGGAGAGTCTGTGAAGGGAAAGAAAGGTGAGAGAACTGCCGGTGTTCTTCCGAGTTCGCGCGTGCGTGCGGGTGTGATTTCGTAGGCGGTTCTCGATTTGCTCGACTTGAATTCGCGCGATTTTTCCTTTGCTCTCGCGCGTCGCTTCTCCCTTATGAGACTTGTCGCTGGAACTGGATCTCTCTCTCCGGGCGGAGTTGGGATTTCTCGGGTGCTTCTCTCGCTGCTTGTGAGCACTAGATCTCCGCTGCTTTTCGTGCTTGCTTGTGTTGTTCTTGGCTACCGGCAAAGATTCTCGATCCCTGCACCTGCTTTCTCCAGATTTGGTACGGATTTGCTCGTCCCTATCCGAGCCACAGAAATCCCCGATTAGTCCAGTGATGAAGCAACAAAAAATCCTTCCTTTTTCTTGATTGATTTCTCGCCATATCTCCAGTTAATAAGCTCCCTTTCCTCTTTTCTTCTTTTGCTATTTATTTCCCCATCAAGAAAGCACTACCATACAAGCTACCCTCCAGTGCTTGGCAACTGTTCATGTCTCCTTCACTGCTGTTCCCTTTTCTGCGAATCCCTTGCAAGGGTTGCATGATCCGTGTAGGCATCCCCTTAATCTGCCCCTGGACTAGCCCGTCTGCTTTCTTGCCCCGGTATGATATTTCATGTGCTTTGTGCTACTTCGGGAGCGGCTCCCTCCGCGCTTCTCCTCTACTCTCTCGCATCCATATCTGTCTTGCTGCATCTATCAGCATAAAATCATGCCATTAGATTCCCAAAGAACAGCTGGCTTGGTTGAGTGGACATGAAATAATATGTGACTTGGTTTCTTTCTGCAGGTGCCTCATGAGGTAGTGGGCGGCCAAGGAAGCAAAGTTTCTTGCTCTCCACCTGTTGAACTTACCCAACTTGGTATGCTGGAGTGCAAGGATAAGAGCAGGCCCAATTGCTTCACAGCTCTTGGGTTCTTGGTGCCGACTGTAGCAGCAGCAGATCTGGGGGGAGCAGCGAAGGCGTTCATCAGATGTTATCCAGTGAGCACCCTTCAGGCCCCTCATGTTCCTCCAAGTCAGCTGGCCCAGGTGTGAGCGCTGATCCGGCGACGTCCGCGGCCGAGGAGCCGGCGAGCCAGGATCCCAGAGATCTGGTCCAACCGTATCCCAAGTTCTCCATAAGGTGAGGAGAGAGATATATACCTTTGATTCAGTACCTTGGGAGATGGATTATTTTCGGTGTTTAAGCTCTTGATGCTGGATCTCTGTCTTTCTGATGCGTCGATTAATTATTGGCTGCTGCTTTGAGGGGTCGGATTGGGTATGAATGGTTGCTTTCAGGGTTAATCCGTGTTATTGTCTGGGGGTGTTTAATTAGTTTAATTTTTCTGTTGATTAATATAAAGGTGGCCTTTTTTCACCCCCAGAATCTGAAAATAAAAGGATGCTCCTCTGATGAATCTTTGTCCACTGCCTACTAGTGTTTTTCTTTTCCATACGTGGTGGTTCTGCGATAAACAGGCAGGCGACATATTTTTGGAGATTTCAGTTTTGATATGACAGAGCATGTTCAGTAGGTCCACGTTGATGTTGTTTTTCTCTCTTCTTTTCAACATATTGTGGAGGGTTTGAATCTTAATACAGTTCGGCAACTTATACATGAGCGTTCGTCATCTAGGCGTGTATTACCATATGCTAATGGGTCCATGTTTCTGCCCCTATTTCAGAGATTATGTTTTTGCTTCAAGGAGCAAAGGCATCAAGAGAAGCTGGCCTTTCCATCCACACTCACTGGGGCTTTGCCTGAACCACGGTGTGAAGGATCCATTGCCTCCATTTGAGCCTCCTGATTTGATCCGGTCACGGCCATTAAATACTTCCACAGACGTTGAGCAATCTGCTGCGTGCTCAGAAGCCATCATTAGTGTTGGTCTGGTGAAGAATAGAGATGCTGGTTCGTCAAACGAGTATACAGGCGATATCAACTTCCAGTCATGCCAACCAGTAGATGAGTCACTTGCACCTACGCCATACACATCACCAGAGGATGGGAAATCTGGTATCGACCAAGTGGGAAGTACAAATGAATCAGATCATACTGATGACGCTGTACCTATAGATCTGCAAGATAATAGCTGTACAAAAGCAAGTAGGCGAACTGAGGTTGCTGTGCCCTTGCGGCGATTGAGAAATATTGACTCATCGTGCGAGCCATCTGAAAAGAAGTGCAAATTTGTAGTCAAGTTAGGTGCCTCGACAGATATTCGGCGGGCAGAGGATATAGCATCTAACTCTAGCTCAGTTTCAGATCCAATGGCTTCAAAGACTTGTCCCGTTTGCAAAGTATTTGCTTCCACTTCGAACACCACATTGAATGCTCACATAGATCAGTGCCTTTCTGTTGAGTCTAATACTGAGCATGTTGAAACAGTCCTTGTGAAACCTAAAGTGAAGCCAAGAAAGAAGCGATTGATGGTGGATATATACAAGACTGCTCTTCCTTACACCCTTGAGGATCTTGATCGGAGGAATGGTACTAATTGGGCAGTTGAGTTGGCTATGTCTCCAGTGAGCAAAGAGGTTTGCACTGAGAACCGAAGCCCAGAAGTGGTATCATTTGACAGAAGAGATGATGAAAGAGAAGGAGATGTCTATGTTGATTCTAACGGCATAAAAATTAGAATTTTGTCCAAGTGTAATGATGTACCTTTGGTGAGGGATGACCTTGGTTCAAGGAAAGTTGTGAAGCATGGAACTGGAAAAGGTATACTGATGAGCAAAAAGATGCTGAAGTCAAAAGTTTTGATGAATAAGAAGCTCAAGATGCATGGAAAGAAGTACAACAAAACAAGCCATTTGAACTCCCAGGTACTGTCTTTAACTCACTCTACGTGTTGTTTGTCACTGTGAATCCAGTACTGTGTTTATTGATTGGCTTAACGTGATCGTGGACCATTATTCCATGGAGTGCATACCCATTATTTATCAGGCCTCTTAGATTGCACTTTATAATGTCTGGACTGATGAGGCTTTTGTTTCATGAATGAATGTGCTACGTACTACAGCTCATTAATTTTAACTCCATTTTTTAATCAAAGGTTTGTAAGAACAGATGTTAAGCTTGGATTATGTTAGATTTGTAACTTGTTTCTCTGTGAAAGTATGATTGTGGACCATAATCAGATGTTAGCTTTCAATTATGTTAGGCTTGGATTTTGTTAGCTTTCACAGTCATGGGTTAGTTTACGCTTGATATTCTTCTCCAGACCAATGTTCTTAAATGGAGATGCAAGGGTAAAGGCAACTTGTTTATCTTAACTATAGAGCTTATCGCTTAATTACTGCTAAGTCCTTTGTTTAGTAGAAAATAACAGTGATTATGGCATTTTACTGAAAAACACTTTTAAGTCCTGGACTGAACAGCCTTTAAAATTTAAATTTTGTGAACCTGTGTTGGTTCTCCATGGGTTAGTTTACGCTTGATATTAGTTTTACACATGCCATGTTTTTTGGTGGATGCCAAGATTAATATCTTATTTTATTAGGTATAAAACATTTCTCAATTGCATATGATAACAGTTTGTTCTGCGGTTGACCTTAAAAAATGTTTTCCCCCTTAATTTTGCACCTTTGACTTATTGCTATGAGATACACACAGGTTCAAGCATACCCACATGACGATATTCATGAGGAAACCTCCGAGGAGGAGCAGCATGCATGGAATCCTTCTGAAAGCACCAGCAATTGTGGTTCCAGGACTATGCAGCAGTGGGTGTGCTCCAAACGCTCAGATATCAACAAGAGTTTAAGCAGAAAACATAGTGGTAAAACATTTGATAAAGTGACACCTGGAGCACAGAAATCGGATAGGAGCAGCATGCTTGGCTTTAATGATTCTCAAGTTCCAGGAAGTCCTGCTGGGGTGTTTTCTTCTGGGTCACCAGAATACATGGCCACAACTTCAGAAGCCATTGGTGTTGAGCAGAGTAATGGTCCTTCAAAAGTGCTTAGATTGATTCCTACATGGTCTTCAAAAACTCATCTGCAGAGCACTGTCATGCCAAAAGTACCTAGATCAGCTGCTGCTCTTGCAAAGAGAAAAATTAAGGAGATTGGGAGGAGAGAAGCTACCAAATTAGATAATTATGATATAGTGAGGAATCCCACTTCAGTGAAAAGATCTGAAGCTAGGAGTCTTTCCATCTCCACAGCAGGGCCAAGCAATGGACCAAACAGGTTAGCATCTACATCAAAGAAGATCCGGAAGCACCGATCTCCGTTGAGGACTGGCAAGCGTGCATTTTCACCTTCTAGTACTAGATTAGTACATGGTTTTGGGGAAGAGCATGATCCTGATACCAGACATGTAAATAAGAAATTCAGGGTTACTAGTAATGAGGGCCCCAAGAAGTTTTTGAAACATACTGAAGAGGATACTGCAGATAATGAATTCTCTTTTGCAAGTGACATGCCAGTATCAGGACAACAGAATGATCAATATGATGTTGCACAGGAAACAGAGGGTACACAAATGGATTGTGATGGTGAAGATGCTGAAACTGACGTGCCATATGATTCAGTATCCAGAAGTGATCCTGCTGACTGTTGCAACCAAAGAAGTGATGTTTCTCTGAGTCCTGAAAATAACAGAACAGCAGATGATGATGTTTTGGTTGAAGGCTACAGTGTAGCTGTGGAGGATCCAAACTCCAGTGAGCAATTAACACATGGCCATGAATCCAACAGTGCTGCCAATACTGAAATGGATGAATGGCAGATGGATCCGACTTCAACAAAGGAATCTAGTCCCTGCTTAACTAGTAACAGGGACATGGGCCCTGGAGGTCCTCAGGATAACTCATCAATAACATCAAATGGAGAAAACTCTAATCAAGAGCATGGTCTGCCACTCAGACGGGACTCACTAGATTCTCCTATTTCGACTGCCTCAACTATGTCCCCTCCAGCTGCTTTGAAGGATTCAAGGACTAACGAGGAAGAACCTGGCCCATCTACTGGTAGAACTGTTGAAGAGCAAATCACTGGGTGCTTGAATCAAGAAACCAAGTCAATACCTGTGGCCAGAGAAGGTGAACGACTGCCCAATGAGAAGCCTTTTCGTTGTTCTTGCCAGGAGAACATTTCCAGAGAGTCTCATCAAAGTGCTATTGCCAGACCAATGCTGAATTTTACTGGAAAGCAGGTTCCACAATTGCACATTGGTTCGAGGGCATCATCATCTTTCAGCACATACCAAAGAACCAGCACAAAGCCCAACCCTTGCTTAGATTCACATGATCATCTTTTAGCAGCTAAGGTTTCAGCGGAATCTGCTATCAGCCTCCCTTCTTATGCAGCAGATTGTGTAAGCCCCTCATTACAAACTCAGCTTCCTTCACCATCAAATCCTATCTTGAGGCTGATGGGTAAGAATTTGATGGTGATGAACAACGAAGAGAGTCTGCATCCTCAAGCACCAAGTTCAGACTACATCTTGAGAGGGAATTACGCGGCACCTGTTGGTTTTATGCCTCCAAACTACCAACATCTCAGTAATTCTGCATTTATCAACATGCCACCAACCACAGCCAGTCACCAAATTCCTCTGCCAAGTGTTCAAGCTAGCAGCTTTGTTGCTCCTCCATTGCATGGTGGTTCTGTGATGCAATCTGACCATCATTCCCACCAGAAGTCCTACAGAAACACTATGCCTGTCATGCATCATCCAACCTACATGATGAAAGAAGTGATTGTGATCAATGATTCTCCTGAACGCAGAAGTGAGCCACAAGCTAGCAGCATGCTTTTCCCCCCTGCTCCACCTCCAACACTCTCGGTACCAAACAATATGCCACCCCGTCCATTTTACTGCCTTCCACCGCAAAGCCCAGTTTTGCCAAGGGAGAGGGCTGTTGGATCCATGCCTGTATATGCAAATGTTGGCTCAATGGTTGGTGTCAATTCATCAAGTCAAGGAAGCCAAACAGAAGTCGCCAATCCTTACATGCCAAATCCGTTCTTCGTCCAGTCTCGAAGTGGTTACATAAACCCGCCAGTGTACTATTCACAGAATTTGCAGTGACAATTTCTCAGTAACTCAAATGACCAGGAGAACTCCATTTAACTTGTTGGTCATCACTGTCAAAGTGGGGGGAAATGAGAGTTTCGTGATGGGTCTAAAATGCTGAGATTAGTGAACCTGCATGAGATGTCTGACTTTCATGAGGATTTTCACATAGGTTGCTTTTGTTTTTTTTCCCCTTAAAGGTTCAACATGTTTGCCGTCAAAAGTATTTTAATTACTTTCTGCAAAGTTGCAGTAAATTATAGTATGCAATTCCCAACAGTTCTGCAAAGGAATATATCTCAGTATTTATCGAAAAAGCTAGCACCTTACATTCCCAGTTGCATGTATATAGTTTGATGTTTGTTCTTTTCCACTCTGTTCAGTAAATGGTTGTTAGCTCATCAGTGTAAGTCATGATAGTTAGTGCAAGCCAAAGTAAAATAGTAATACTGCACTGCAACGTTGAAAAATACCTACAGGAGTGTTTTGTATAGGTGTCAAAAAGACTTTTCTTTTCTTTTTTATAAAGACCATATAGAATTATAGATTGAAACTACGTAAACATGGTACAAAGATTTTTCTGTTGAACCGTATGAATCATTCCAAATCATATCAAGCCGATTTGGAGCTTTGCATATCCTTCATGAGGCCAAAAGTTAAGGCGAAAAGATCACTTGGTTACTCTTGGTAGATGTTCCTGTATAAACTTCATAGCATTATGTATTGTTCGTCGTCCATGGTGTCCAGAATCTGGACACTTTGCGATGATTTATTAAGGCCATCTTTAGAAGTACTCCTAAACCACATGTGATACTAGATAATATTAGCCCAAGCGAGTGGTTTTATAAATCTCTACTCTGAAGTGAAATGGAGCTTCCTGTTGCTTGCTAGTGATACGCTGAGTCTTAAGGGTCTGGTGTAGTGATCTTTATATTCATTTCTTAAAAAAAATGCAACTGTTGGAAAAAAAGGTTTTCCTGTTGCTTGCTAGTGCTATTCTGAATCTGAAGGGCCTGTCATGTTTGGACCTGAACAAACCTGCATTCCAGTGGCTTTAGGTTAGATGGCGGCTTTGTTGAAGTCAGACTGGATGTCTTGTTTCTGGCCACAGCTTGGCACATCTAAGGGCATGTTTAGTTCCCCATTTTAGCTAAAACTTTTATTGTTTTATTTCATCTTTTGGCAAAATGGATCTAAACACCATAAGAAAAAACAACAAAAATTAGGCTACAAAACTTTTGGCATTTGAGACCAAGAGGTCCAAAACTAGGCAAAAAAACGTCTTGGGGGCGTGTGCTGTGTCTGCATGGCTAAAGTTTTACCGTGCATCTAAACACCAAATGCCAAAAGTTTGAATGGCAAAAGTTTTGCAGCAAAAGATTAGTGACAAAAGTTTTGCCTTTCCAAAAGCATCTAAACACCCCCTAAGATTGGCCAATTTGAGCAGATGCTTGGTTGCCAGCACAAAGCGTGGCAAGACTCACTTCTTTTACATCATGCCTTACATACATGTTAATGACTCAATAGTATGGCAAGATTTTCTTAGGCTTACTAAAATATGGTAACTTAACTTTAGGCAAATGTGTCAAATGGTGGTAATTTGTGTATGGGAACCAAACAATGCCTCTAATCTTAGACAAGTTGTCTATAATAATTTCAATTAGCCACTCTCATCTCTTGCCAGTTGGACTTAACATCTACGCTTGCAGTGTCGCATGGCCCTTTTTTCCTCTCCTTTTGCTATTATCAAGTAGCAAACGTTGAAATTGTGTGTTACAAACCCACCGCACATAATTACAGAAGCAACATAAAACTAAGGTTGCGCATAAAAAACTATAGACCAATCTAGAATAAACTAGACGAATTTATATATAGGTTTGGTTATAATGCATTGCACATGAAGCACAGTGGGTCAACCAAGCTAGGATGAGTCTCCCAAAACCAATCCTTTCGAAAGAATGCAATTATTATTTTTTAAGGAGTAAGATGATTTAAATTTGACCAAAATTATATAGAAAGTGCTAATACTTATAATATAAAAAAGTATCATTAAATTAAATTAAGTACAAAATGTATTGATAATAAATGTATTTGGAGATATAAACGCTAATATTATTTACTATAATTTTAGTCAAATTTGAGCTAGTTTGTCTGATTCAAATCACAAAATTTTTTTTTTTTTGTGTTGTGGTGGTTGGGGTTTGGGAGCTCGAGGGGGGAGTCGTGACGCAGGCCGTCTCCTGTACAGCACGGACTAGATGCCGTCCGATCCAACATCCCATGGCTACGCAGCGCACGATCCGCATGAAGCAGCGCATGGTCCAACTGGCACCCGATCTCTCCGCAAGCAGCATGGCTCCATCCTGCCGAACCAGGACACGTGTACGGCATCCACACGGTGCCTGGCCTGGATGGCGTTGGCATGGGTGCCCACCGTGAACAGCGGACCAAACCAATGGCCCATCCTACATACAGTGTGCAGACAGTACACCAGACAGACAGCGAGAGCCGGCGGGGAAAAGGGGGACGAACGAGAGCGACGGCCGCGGACCGCCCAGCAGTCCCCGTGGGGGCGGGCGGTGGCGGGGCCGGCTCCGGCAGCGATGCGATGCGATTGCCAGCTGAGCTGAGGAGAAAAAGGGGGCCGTGTCCCGTGTCCCTCTCGCCGTCTCGCGCCATCTCGATCGTGCCCAAATAATGAATGCCCTCTGGTCCGGGACGCAGCAGCACGCCAGCAGTCGCTCGCCTCGCCGTTGCTCTGCTTCGTTAACGCTGCGTGGTAAATTTTCCTTCTGCCGACGCCGTATGAAGCAGCAGTAGCTCTAGCTCGCGGATGTGCGCACTGTGATCTGCTTTGGCATCCTTGTTCGCTGGTCTTATCAGCCAGCTTATTTGCTGGCTTATAAGCTATATTACAATATTTTTTTCTCTTAAAAAATCAGCCATACAAATCAGCACCAGCGACTTTACAGCCAGCCGAACAAGCCATAGTTGTAGCGCTGCAACAGACGCTGACGTGCTCTGCATCCGAGAGGGTGAGGGTGGCAATTGTCAAGTGCCTTCCTTCATGGCAGCACAGTGTCCGCCAACGGAAGTGGTTGCCTCAGATCAGATGCCATGTCCGCCATGCCTTAGGTCCGTAGGTATTGGCTGCTGAGCAGCTCGACCGAGACTTTTGATAGCGCTGCAACAGACGCTGACGTGAAACCTCTGCATCCGAGAGGTGAGGGTGGCAATTGTCAAGTGCCTTCCTTCATGGCAGCACAGTGTCCGCCAACGGAAGTGGTTGCCTCAGATCAGATGCCATGTCCGCCATGCCTTAGGTCCGTAGGTATTGGCTGCTGAGCAGCTCGACCGAGACTTTTGATCTGCAAAGTTCACATCACTGATCATACTAATACAGTAAGGGCGCATTTGGTTAGCACGGGATGGAGTCCTGAAACCGGTCCAGCCAAGAACGATGCTTATTTTATACAGCCAAGTATCACCAGGAACCGTTCCAGCAAAAAACGAGCCTAGGGCCCTAATACTACGTGGACATGTAGCACTCTCCACTCTCTCTCTCTCTCTCTCTACCGATAGTTCAGTGACTTAATTGCCTATTTTGCCTATTTTATACAGCCAAGTATCACCAGGAACCGTTCCAGCAAAAAACGAGCCTAGGGCCCTAATACTACGTGGACATGTAGCACTCTCTCTCTCTCTCTTTACCCCTTGGCCCCTTCGCACTCCTTTTTCCTCGAGGACAAAACATGTGTACACTAGTGCCTGGAATACACGCGTAAAACGACGGGTGGCTCCACTTTCGTGGGTCGTCGTTGCGACTCACAAGGCCCACAGATTGGGAATCTTCCTAAACGCATGGTATGTTGTACTACGTCAGTCATCAGTGCTTTATTTTTAATGGCAGTCATCAGTTTGTGAAGAAAACAGACACGAAAGGGAAAGGAAAGGTCTCCAGCTGTTTTTTTTATCAAAATTTTATTATGACCTGGTGAAAAAAAGGAGATGAAAATTGGGAAACAAGGTATCCGGGTATAAAAAGAAAAAAATACAGTAACTGATACAAATCTTGAAATAATGCCGGTAGCGGCTTCAAACAAGTATATTAAACGGATGATCATTTATGGCCATGGCACGTAATTAGTACAAAGTACATAGCGACAAGTTGACACGGTAACACGTACTATGACATATGACACATAAACACAAATATTATTGTATAATAACAGATGGCACACCCAAAGTTCCAAACAAAAATAACAAATTAAACTGACACCCAAACATGAGTGATAGAATAGGTGACCAGGTCCTCATGTTTTTGACCTTAAACGGGGCAGATATAGCTATGACTAAGGATGAAAACGGAACGGAAATATTCCGAACTGAACCGCATCGTTTTCTATATTTAATTCGATTGAATCCGTATTTTTTTGTCCGACTTTACCGTTTTCGCTTTCATATTTGAGATGTTTCGTATTTCAAATGTAAAAGTAGAAAATGGTTTACACATTTTTCGACCGTTTTCTACTTTTTTACTTTTAATTTGAAATATTCCGAATTCAAAATTCGGTTTAAACCGAATTTGGCCAACTGCACAGGTCATACAGCCCAATTATAGGCTGCTCACCACGCAGCTGCGTTCTTTCTACTGGTGGCTAGCTGCCCTCTCTTATAGACGGCGCCCAGTCTCATCTCTCTTATTATGTATTTGGTCGTGCACTTGTTTAATGCTATGCACTTGAACTAGATCATGCACTTGTTAGTTGTGAATTTGTTATATATTTGGTCGTGCACTTGTTTAATGCTATGCACTGTGGGTCGGTATTTCGTATTGAATTTTCGCATATCGACCGTGTTCGACATAATTCCGCTCGAATTGGTTCGTTTTCGAAATTCTAGATATTCCGTAAGTTCGTGTTCGTTTTCGTGTCCGGCTTGCCCGCTTTCGCTTTCTCTTTCGTATTTCAAATGTAAAAGTAGAAAACGGTTGAGAAGTTTTTTGACCGAGTTCG